ATGTGTAATATAGTTCTCTTTTGGCTGCACCCTCACTAACATTTGTTATTATTTGTTTTCTTGAAATGACAATTCTAAATGGGATGAGGTGGAATCTCAGCACGCTTTCTCTCATTACCAATATATAGAATGTGCCTATAAATGTGCAAGTAAACATGTTGAGTGGCATGCAAGTAGCTCCAAATGAATTAACTGAATTATGATAGATGCTATATAGAGTTTAAATACTACGATCTTTTTAGAAAGACTAAGTCAAAGCCCAACAAAATAAGCACCAAGTATTGGGTACTTGCAATGGGAGGTTGAGTCAAGGAGAGAGGATGAAAAATGAGGGGCAGAGGGGTAGAAGGAAGTCAAGAATTCATTGTATATGCCTCAAAATTGAAAAATGTGACCAAAAGGTTGGGTCAAAGGGGGAATGAGATTTTTGAAGCAGGTGACCCAGATCAAGATGCATTATATTCATATACTGCTTTGTAAAATGATATCTCCCTTGTACAATTTCTAAAAGATAAAAAATAAAATCTCATGGACTTTCCTGCCTGGGGTAGATTCAAATCAAGATCCTTAGATATTAGCCTCCTGAGTAGCTGGTATAACAGGTATGAGCCACTGTCACCAGCTCCTGTGTACATTTTAGAGTTCTAAATTTCAAACACTATGATTATTAGAGAGACATTTCAGGTTTTAATACAAAGAATATTTACACATATAAGTATATATCAAAATATTTCAAAATGGAAAGCTTTAATATCGATTCCAAGCCTAACACCATGAAGTTAATTGCACTGACTCAAAATACATGCTTTTAATGACAAAAATCAGAGTACCTTGTCATAATAAACAATTATAATTACAATTTCCAACATATATCAGACAAATGTAATGTACAAAACAAAATGGTCTTAAATATAAAAAGATAACATGAAATGCAAATTACAGAATATAAGCATTTTCTAATAATATTTAGAGCTTTTCATATATAATTTGGGATAGATTAGCATACATTTATGAGAAATATTATACAAATTTCACTCATCTTTCCTAGTGTCTCTCAGTGGTATTATTTGTAAAAATATTCCATAGTGCCTCTCAGTAACAATAATTTATGCTATAATGTAAACAGGATATTGTCTCTGAAATGATCCATGGATCTTTTTCAGATTTATTGTTTTATTTATGTTCGTGTGTGTGTGTATTCAACATTATGTTATAAGTCCTTTCATTTAGCACAATAATCAACAAAATAGTAAAGATATATCTAACTATTGATATCTATTTAAATATCTATACATCTATATATATGTATATATAGTTATGTATATTTATGTGCTTTCTCTGGGGCTTTTCCACTCAAAGCTTGATTCAGAACTTTAATTCTAAATTTCAGAAGTTTAGGACAAAATTATCATGGACTTTTTTGTTCTCACTGGCTTTAAAATGTAATCCTCAGATTTAAGCCTAGTGAGTAGCTAAGATTATAAACATGAGCCACTGACCCCCAACCCAAATGCCTTAATATTTTTAATGAACTTACAGTAACAGCAAGTGTTTGATCAGGGTCAATATAAATATTTTCTGGTAAGGCCTACATAAACACACTTTTGGCTTTGTGTGTCACCAGATTTCAGTGACAGTACAGTACTCAATTCTATTTGTGACGCAAAAATACTAGAGAAATGAATAAAACTCTTCTTTAGTAAGATCATATATAAAAATGTAAGTCTTGTCTTGGATTTTACTAAGATCTTTGTTGACAGTCCTGGAGGAACATCAATTCCAAATTTCAAACTATATTTTAAAGCTGTGGTTATAAAATCAGCTTAGAACTGGCACACAAACAGGATGGAGGACCAATGGAATAAAATTGAAGGTGCAGAAATGATCCCACAGACCTATAGTCACCTAATATTGGATAAGGAAGCCAAAGATATGAGATGGAAGAAAGATTGCCTCTACATTAAATGGTGCTGGTTAAACATGTGCAGAAAACTGAAGTTAGATCCGTATATATCACCCTGCACCAGAAGCAACTCCAAATGGATCATAGACCTTGAGGTAAGATCAAATACCCTGAAAATATTATAGGAAAGGATAGGGGATACACTAGCCCTTTGGCACAGATCAAAACTTCCTAAATAAAGATCCAGAAACACAACAAATGAAAAATTGTCTGGATAACTGGGATCACATTAAACTGAATAGCTTCTGCATGGCAAAGGACATAGCTAGCAAGATAAATAGAAAACCCACAGATTGGGAGAAGACGTTCAGTAGCTATACAACAGTCACATAAACAACCACCCTTTAATAAGTGTGCTAAAGAGTTAGAAAGAGACTTCTCTGGCAAAGAAATAAGAATGATCAATAGACACATGAAGAAATGTTCAACATCTCCCGGGAGAAAATGAGGGAGGAGGTGACAGTATTTAGAAAGAAATGTACTCATTCCTTTATATGTAACTGTAATCCTCATTCATCAGCTTAAGAATAAAAATTTTAAAGTTAAAAAATAAATAAAAGTATAATGACTAAAAACAAAGAGAAATGCAAATAAAAACTACAGTTAGATTCTACCTAATCCCAGTTAGCATGGCCATTATCAGGAAAACGAATAGTAATGGATGCTAGGGGATGTGGGCAAAAGGGAATGTTACTACAGTGTTGGTAGGAATGTAAACTGGTTCAACCACTCTTGAAAGCAGTATGAAAGTTGCTCAAAAGGCTCCACTGTGACCCAGAAATCCTACTCTTGGACATTTACCCAAATGAGCATAAACAAGGCCACACTAAAGATACCGATATGCTATGTTCATTGCAGCATTGTTTATCATAGGCAAGATATGGAATCAGCCCAAGTGCCCCTTAGAAGATGAATGGATCAAGAAAATATGGTATATATGCACATTGGAATTCTACTCATCAGTCAGGAAGAATAATATTATACCATCCCTAAGGAAATGGAAAGACTTGAAAAAATATATTAAGGGAAGTAAGCCAGACCCAGAGAAACATAGCTTACCAGATTTCCTTCATTTGTAGTAGCAAGAATGTGCCTACAAATCTACAAGTAAACTTAATATTTTGGTTGGCTCTTCCATTGGGCCAATATAGAAAGCAAGATAACTTGCTAAAATCCTATATAAAATAATTTCCAATCACAGAAATTATGTTAGCTATGACAACAATGTCAGGCCAACTTTACAGAAGTTGTACACTCAAATTTGTCTAATTGCATATAAATAGGAATAGTACTTTTTATCCTACAAGTTGTCTGAATGCCTTCAACTGAAATAAAGTCACTTTATGAGTTAGTTGTTGGCCAAGCAAAACTCCAAATTAAACCAAAAAAATACTCAATATCAGAGATTTTGGGAACATGATAACCCTGGGTTAATATTCAGTATAAAATAGATATTTAAAATGCAGATGATGAGAATACATTTTGAATTAAACAAATGTAATGAACATTCTTAAAGTTTTTTCAAAATTGTTTATGCAGTAAACAGTATTTTTTTTACTACTCATATGTCTCAGTTTTATTTATACACTGAAAAGAATTATGCTTAAGCATCTATCTATAAAATAGACTAGCAAACACAGTAGATTATCTTTCCATGTGTTATTTACTATCACACATTTGCATATACTCTGTTCATGGAAATTATATGAGTAGAGCTTAATTTTGAGAATAAAAGTGTAAAGTACAATGCATTTACATAGTTACTTGCTATTTGCTTAATTAATGATATCTTATATCGGTGCAGTAGTGTAATCTTCAATCTACTCTCTGAGAATAAAGTGAAAATTATTCTATGACCCTCAAAATACTGTGCTATAAAACCACATTTCAGGACATGTAATATAGATTTGATAGAAAAAGAGAATCAACTGAACTTCAAAACAAAACATCTAAGTATAAAAAAGAGAGAATCCAGCATGATAAGATCCTCTACATAATGTAGTAAGTACATATTGCATTGTGGTAAGTAAATGATCTCTACAAGATTGTCTGGTGAATGTGTTTGTAGTACTCGCAATGACAATACATCACATTTTATGTTATTTGATAAGCTACATGTGTCATTTTTATCATCCTTAAATTAGTACTTTTCCAAGAACTAGAAGAGATATGTATTTAATTCCACAAATATCAGGCTAGAGAGACACTACATAATATTATAGCCATAACTTTAAGAATGAAAATATCTTACTATTTTAATCTATAAAGACAGGTAAGGACCAGCATGAAAATTGGAGCTTGGGAATATTCCAAGGACAAGCAATAAGTGATTGATCATTGATTTATCAAAATGATGAAGTTCTATGTAATTAACTCAAGAAGTTTATTATGAGTGTGAATTATTATTAAGAAAAATTTCCCCAACATGAATGAACTATATTCATTCTGAACAATTAAATTATAGATAAAATGAAATGTTAATATCAATTTATTTCTCTAGCATGTTAAAATAATAAATTACTAATCACATTCAAAAACTATTATTTCAATGACACAAATGTAAATACTAATTCTGTCATCATCAAAGATTTCCTTATTGAGTTTGATATGAATTCTTCAAAGTTATTTTAGGATCTTGGCCATTTGAATTACATGATGCAAACTGAAACCATCACATTTAATTTGTAAGAAATCTAGGTTGTCTCAGCATGGCTTGGCATTCACTGTTCCATCATTACACTCCAGGTTCTTTTATTTGGGTGGATTTGGCCAGTAGAGTGAATTGGCCAATAGAAAGCCATATGGTGCATTGTTCAAAACTATATTGCATTGTGAGTCCTAGCTTGGCCACCTTTAAGTAACTAAATATCAGGAGTGGATCCATGTAATTTTCCATTGGACTAATTACTGGAATAATAACTAAACTTAATTCATTTTCTTTTTTCTAGAAAATTAGAAGAGTTTAAACATAGACGTGCAAATAGAGGATAGAAAGGATATTAAAGAGAGTGATACCTTAGGTTCACTCTGTGTTTACCTTTAAAGAAGCAGTCTTCATTGTGAACAATGGTTATCTTTTGCTTTTTCAGACACGCTGCTCTGTGTACTTCACAGTGGTTTGCATAGAATTCTCCATCAGACCCACACACAGGTTTATAATGCCGTTTGCAATGATCCATACAGGCACATTCTACATGGCCTGTCTCTCTGTTGATTACACAGTATCTTCCCAAGCCACAATACTTGTTTTCACAAGATCCAAAAAAGCCATCCTGAATAAGAAATTCTGAAAAAAAAACACAGAAAATCATTTGTTTCCAATGTTCAAATACTAAATACATTTGACTATATCAAATACTCAGCATGTTCTAAATAGTCTTAGAAAGTCAAAGTCCTTGCACTGATTTTGGGCAGGAGAGGCTGACAACAAAACCCATAGACAAAGTTTTTCTAAAAGCTCTCAACATTCTTTCTTAGGTTCTCTCCTTGAGCTATATTCTCTTTTATCAGAAAACTCTGAGTTTTTTTTTATTGTGAACATACTGTACAGCGGGGTTACAAGATAGTGGGCAAGATAATGAGTATATTTCTTATCAAGCATTGCAGCCTCCTCCTTTGTTTACTCTTCACATCCCTTCCCAGCCTTCCCCTGTACCCCACGTAATCCTCCCCCCACCAACAAAGTGGTAAAGTTCATTTTCGACATGACAACTTGTACTTCTCATTGTTGCAACCGGTACGCCTGTATCCTTAAACGATTTGTTTTTCCCCTTCTCCTCCACAAATTATACCGACATCAAATATAGTGAAAGCAGGGGTTATACTGTGGGGGAGGGACATACAAAGCAACAAAGAAATAATCTTTTAAATGCCTTAGAAACAAA